GCTGCTGCTGCCTAGTGCAGCAGGCTCAGACTTTAGATCCAAAGGGATGCCGCTGCTGCTGCTGCTGCTGCTGCACAGAGACGCAAGAGACAGACAAGGAGCAGCAGCACCCTTTGGTACTGCTGCTGCTGCTGATGATGATGTTTGCTGCTGCTGCTGCTGCTGCTGATTGCCTACAAGATCAAGTGCGTCTCCTCCTACAAGACCCCCACCAAAAGACAGCAGCAAATCCGTTGGTGCTGCTGCTGCTGCTGCTGCTGCACCAGGAGGAGTTCCTGCTGCTGCTGCAGCAGCAAAGTTTCTATCAGGTTGGGGGGCTGATGAATCAGGCCCTAGAGGGCAATCGACTGGGGACAAAGTTGCTGCTGCTCCTGCTGCAGTTGTTGTTGCTGCTGCTGCTGCTGGCGCTGCTGCTGCTGCTGCTGCTGCAGGTGACGATGACGACTGCGGCGCCCCCGCCGCAGAAGGGGTGCTTGTGCCCCCCACAGGAGCAGCAGCAGCAGATGTCTCTGTATTATCTGCTGCTGCTGCTGCTGCTGCTGTTGCTGCTGTTGTTGCAGGTGGTGCTGCTGGTGCTGCTGTTGCTGCTGCAGCAGCAGCACGCTCCTGCTGCAGGGCCCCACACGCCACCGCCGGGAGAGAGGGGACGAAAGGGGACTGCAGCGGCTGCCGAGCCATTAGCCGGCTGCTGCTGCTGCTGCTGTTGCTGCTGCTGCTGCTGCTGCTGTGTGGTACTGCGCACACAGCAGCAGGAGGGGCACCACCCAAGTCACCTCAATGAGCAGCAGCTGCTGCCGTCGCTGCTGCTGCTGTTGCTGTTGCTGCTGCTGCAGTTGTTATTATCGCTGCTGCTGCAGCTAAAAGCATTAAGAAGAAAACTGCAGCAGCAGAGGCAGCAGCCTCCCTATATCGGTGTGCTGCTGCAGCGCTGGGTGCGGCGGGGCCCCTCTCCTGCTGCTGCTGCAGTTGCTGCTGCTGCTGTTGCTGCTGCTGCTGCAGTAGGCAAGAGGAATCTCATTAGAAGTGTAGGAGGAGCTGTTGGCTGCCTTACAAGGAAGAAGCTGCTGGGGGATGGTGCAGCAGCCTTCGGTGCTGCTGCAGCAGTTGCTGCTGCTGCTGCTGCAGTTCCTGCTGCTGCTGCTGCTGCTGCTGCTGCTGCAGTGTTGGTGGCAGGCAGCCCCTCAATAAGAAGAATAAATAATAAATAAAATTAAAACTATCTCTTATAAGAAAGAAAACCGAGAGGAAGGAAGGCTTTGCTGCTGTTGCTGCTGCTGCTGCTGCTGCTACTTACTGCTGCTGCAGATGGAGGGGGCCTCTCCTGCTGCTGCTGCTGCTGCTGCTGCTGCAGCAGTGGGGCGCGGAACAGCAGCAACAAAGGGCCTTTTGTGTCTCTGTTATATAAACAAACAAATACTTAAAACGGGTGCGCCAGATAAGAAGAGGGCAAAAGTTGCTGCTGCTGCTGCTGCTGCTGCTGCAGCTGCTGCTGCTGTTGCCGTGGGCGAGGGGGGCCCTCTCTCGGTGGTTCCGCAACAGCAGCAGCAGCAGCAGCAGCTACACTAAGCAGCAGCAGCAGCTACGGCACCACCACTTGTACCTACAACATATGTTGCTCCTGCAGCAGCAGCAATATTATTATTATTATTTACTAATATTTATTTATTTATTTTGCTGCTGCTGCAGCAAACCCTTGTATACCCTCCCCTCCTTAGGGGGGGCCCCCTGTGGGTCTGGGGAGGCTCCGGGGGGGCCCTGCTGCTGCTGCTGCTGCTGCTGCTGCTGTGCACAAACTGCAACTTGCTGTTGCTGCTGCTGCTGCTGCTTACAGAAGCAACAGCAGCAACAGGCAGCAAAAACGTAGCAGCAAAGGCAAATAAAAGTAATACATTTAATTATCTTTGGGTGTATAAGTAGCAGCAGCAGCAGCAGCAGCAACAGCAGCAACAGCAGCAACAGCAGCAACAGCAACAGCAGCAAATACTATTTATTCTGTAGTAAGAAAACAAAAGTAAATAAATACCCCACAATTGAGGTGTATGTACACCTCAATTATGCATGCATGTAACAACTTACATTAACACTGCTGCTGCTGCTGCTGTTGCTGCTGTTGCTGCTGTTGCTGCTGCTGCTGTTTTTGCTGCTGCTGCTGTATAGTGCGAGCCTTCCTGTAGTGTATCTCTAGTAACTTTATTACCTAATTAAATAATTAATTAACTAATTAATTTATATAATTAATTAATTAATTAATTAATTAATTTATATAACTAATTAATTTAATTAATTAATTAATTAATTAATTATTTTAATTAATATATTTACTAATTGATTAATTAATAAGCTACATAATAGTAATAATAATAATTAATTAATTAATTAATTAATTTATATATTTATTTATTTATTTACTTATTTATTTATTTATTTACTTATTTATTTATTTATTTATATTAATAAATGTAGCAGACAGCAGCAAACCCTCAAACCCTCAACATTATATTAACCACCAATTAGGGTTTAGGGTTTAGGGTTTAGGGTTTAGGGTTTAGAGACACCATTAAGTTGCTGATTTTTTATACAAATAAATTTAAATAAATAAATAAATAAATAAATAAATAAATAAATAAATAAATTAAATAATTAAACTAATTAGTTAATAAAAATAAATAAATAACTAAATAAATAAATAAATAAATAAATAAATAAATAAATAAATAAATAAAAAGATTTTGGGGTGTATAGGCAGATAACACCCTATACACAACCTACAAACAAACCCCTGCTGCTGCTGCTGCTAGTACTACTACAACTGCTGCTGCTGCTGCAGTTGCTGCTGCAGTTGCTGCTGCAGGTGGTGGTGCCGTTGGAGTTGCTGCTGCTGCAGCTGCTAGTGCTAGTGTTGCTGCTGCTGCTGCTGCTCTGTGCTTCGCCGACTACAGCAGCATCCTCAGCTCCCATTTGATCCTCACAGTTGCCGCTGCTGCTGCTGCTGTCGCTGCTGCTGCTGCTGCTGCTGTCGCTGCTGCTGCTGCTGCTGTCGCTGCTGCTGCTGCTGCTGTCGCTGCTGCTGCTGCTGCTGCTGTCGCCAAAGCTATCATCCGCAGCAGCAAGCACATCTGGAGAATTGTCTGGCGGCTTGCTGCTGCTGCTGTTGCTGCAGCTGGTGCCGCTATTGTTATCTGCAGCAGCATCTACAGCATCTGCAGCAGCATCTGCAGCAGCATCTGCAGCAGGTGCAGCAGCAGATGCAGCAGATGCAGCAGCATCTGCAACAGGGACATCGTCTGCAGCAGGTGCAGCATCTGCAGCAGCATCTGCAGCAGTATCTGCAGCAGGTGCCTGATCTGCAGCAACTGCAGCAGGTGCAGCATCTGCAGCAGTATCTGCAGCAGGTGCCGGACTTGCAGCAACTGCAGCAGGTGCAGCATCTGCAGCAGCATCTGCAGCATCATCTGCAGCAACTGCAGCAGCTGCAGCGTCTGCAGCACAATCTGCAGCAACTGCAGCAGGTGCAGCATCTGCAGCAGCATCTGCAGCAGTATCTGCAGCAGGTGGAGCCTCTGCAGCAGCAGCTGCAGCAGGAGACTCATTAGTAGCCTTTGCTGCTGCTCCCTCCTTGGTGTGGCTTCCTGCAGCAGCAGCAACTGCTGGTGCAGCAGCAGCAGCTGCTGCTGCTCTCAGCAGCTGCTGCGCAGGCATCTGCTGCACTTGCTGCTTGCTGCTGCCACTGCTGCTGCTGCTGATACTGACGCTGCTGCTGCTGCTGCTAGGTGTGTGCATCAGCAGCACAGACACCCCAGCCTTAGCAAAGGCAGCAAGAGCCCGCAGCAGCAGCAGCAACTCTGCTGCTGCTGTTCCTGTCTCTTTTGCTGCACTCATTTGCTGCAGATGCTGCAGCTGCAGCAGCTGCTGCTGTTGCTTTTGCTGCTGCTTCTCCTCATCTCTATCTACTGGCTGCAGCAGCAGCAGCGCCAACTGTGAATAGAAGGCACAGAGGGCTGCTGTTGCTGCTGCTGCATGCGCTGCTGCTGCTGTTCCCTGAGACACTCGGCGGCAAACCCGCCGCACAGCAGCAGCAGTATCACCTTTTGCTGCTCCTGTTGGTTCTGCAGCAGCAGCAGCAGCAGCAGCTGCTGCTGCTGCTGCTGGAGAGTCAGTGTTGCTGCTGCCCCCTTTAGCTCCGTCTTGCTCCTGCGGCATCGATGCTGAAGAAACACTAGAAGCTGCTGCTGCTTCTGCTGTCACGTGCTGCTGCTGCTGCTGCTGCTGCTGCTGCTGCTTGTCTTGCTGTTGCTGCTGCTGAAGGCGCTGCCTGTCTTCCTCAAGGAATGACTCCTCAGCAGCAAGTTGCTGCTGCAGCTGCTGCAGCAACCCGCTATTCTCTATTTGCTGCTGGGGCTGCTGCTGCTGCGCCTTTTGCTGCTGCTGCTCGATTTGCTGCTGCTCATTATTCAGGTATACTTGCTCCTGCTGCTGCTGCTGCTGCTGCTGCCCTCCGCCTCCAGGTGTATCACCGTCGTCTGTATCGTCTTGCTGCTCCTCCTCTTTCTGTTGCTGTTGCTGCTGCTGCTTCTCGATCTGCTGCTGCTCGACCGGCTGTTGCTCGTTCTGCTGCTGCTGCTGCTGCTCGTTCTGCTGCTGTTCGTTCTGCTGTTGCTCGACCGGCTGCTGCTCCTGCTGCAGCGGTTTCTGTTGCTGTGTTTGCTGCTCCTGTTGCTGCGCCTGCTGCAACGGCTGGTTTTGTTGTGCTTGCTGCTCTTGTTGCTGCTCCTCCTGTTGTTGTTGCTGCTGCTGCTCCTGTTCCTGCTGCTGCACTGCTGCAATACGAGCCTTCAGACCCGCGCGCAGCTGCTGCAGCAGAGCGGCCTCTGCAGCAGCAAACAGCGATACACCCCACACAGCAGCAGCAAATGGCCATACACCCAACACAGCAGCAGCAGCAGCAAACATTTAGCATCAGCAGCAGCAGCAGCAGCAGCACTATCAGCAGCAGACATTTA